GGCTTTGATTAGTGTTAGAGGTTGCCTTGCTAGATGCTGTGGTGCTAAGAGTTGCCAATGAGGTATGAGTTATGACGGATTCATCCGAAAGGTCTAGTGACTGCATTACGCTATTTAGCAGGTTAAAATACGAACGACAAGTGAGAGCTCACAGTTGAGGCTGTAGTTGGAAGCTCTGTAAGTGCCGATTGTGTGTAGCTTTTGTTCTCAAAGCAACTCCACCCACCTGCCATCTCTACATATGCGCAGCGAAGGGCAGGAGGACAGCACCATGTGCCTAGCAAGCAATGACGAGTTAGGTAGGTGTTGCTCGTATTAGGGCTTGGATTGGACTGACCACAATTGGAGTCACACTCGGGTATTTTCCGGCCTTGGAGTAGATGGCCGTCCAGACCAGCCGTGGCGAGTCCTGGCATGAGAAGGCCAACACATAGAAGGGGCAAGAGGCCTGCCATGGTGTATAAAAAGTAAGGTCCGGTACTACTAGGTTTTGATCTGCAAGTTACTGACTGTTGATAATGCGAGAAAGAATTGGCTGAATGTCTTGGAGGCGGAAGGGAATCGTGCTTCTTAAGCCTATTGATCGTGACGCCTCTGGCTATCACATGATAATTACACAGACCGCTAGGGCAAACTTTACGACCACGAGCCGCAACTACGAAAGCCATAGCCTACTTTGGCTTTCAGCTTTCATTTCGAGCTCCAATTGAGGGGATCTTTCTTTCAGCTAGGGCATTACCCAAGCCTCTCAGCACGGTCACTGAACCTTAACCATCCTATATATATAAGGACGGTTCCGCTTGGGGTTTAGTCGGCTGCTAAGATGAAGCACTTGGTGCGCCTCGGGCTAGGACCCCCGATACGACTTTTGCCTCGAGCCTCAGTGACTGTCCAGTCGGGCTTGGCTCTGGCATTTGATTGGTACCACCTTGGTGGGATACGGAATATCGACCCCATGCCGCTCGAAGGGTAGTCTAGACCGCTTTTTCAGTATAGCTAAACACTGTAATAAATACGTAAATATAATAGATAAGTAAGCATAACAGCCCACCTTTTACCTTATATTTAGTTTTTTAAAAGCTTATAGAAACCTTAATTTAAGCCTAAAATAATTAAAATTTTAATAAATTATATATAACTTATAAAACAAAACTTTTATTAATTTATTTTATTTAAATCTTATATTATATAGCTAGGCTTTTTTTAAATAAAGTAAAATAATTAAAAACTTAAAAAATTAAATTTTTATAATTAATACCTATACTAAGCTTAATAATATATTTGTTAGACCTTTAACTACTATATTTAAGAATTAAAACTACTATAAGGTAAGGTATTTTTATATAGTATATTATTATATTTATATATCTATATTTTCTCCGTGATTCGGGCTCTCTAGTATTCTGTTACTGACTGCGTCTTGAGCACTGGCATTTCTTGCATTGTCGCTGCCTTAGAGTAGGTGGCACAAATATACCCGTGGGGAATAGGCTGTCTGTTCGAAATCATTGTCGACCGGAATTCAGTCCCTTCAAAAGTGAAGGGACTGTCACCTCCTAAGCGGGAGGGAGGGGGAAGATGCCCGACGATGCGGGCTGTTCGAGTCCTGCAGAATCTCGTGGAATGGTCAGCGGAGGTAGGGAACAGACAACAGGGATGCAACTCACAGGCTCCTCGCAGCTTTGTCCCACGATGCCTGTGCGAGAGGCAAAGGATTGTGCAAAATATAGTATATTGGTCGATTGAAGCATGGCGGTGAAAGACGAAATGGGTCGCCTTTCTTATGGAGAAGGTGGCGGTAGTATATACAAGGTTGGGAATCGACGATGACGATGCTGGCGAAAAGAAAAATCAACTGGAGCTCTGAAATATATGCGAGACGAACTTACTCACCTGGCCCAAGCTTCTTGAGAGCGTATCGCGTCACGCACGCGCACTGAGAATGCGGCCACAGCGTGACGATCTCTCTGAGGCCGGGACATCGAGATGCTGAACTTGATCCCATGTTATGGGGATGTATGATAACATCGCGAGGGAGAAGATGAAGAGTTCAAGAACGAGATGAGCTGCGGAGTAATTTTCAGGCGGAAGAGAAATCCTCAAGCAAATGGCAAAACAGAAAAGGATTTTCCACCTGGCCATGTTACGCAGCCTCGCTAAAGCCTAGACCAGATTGGTGTTACACACACTTGTTGACACTGCCGGGCATCTGCGTCAACCGGCAGTGGACCCCTTTCGGCATTTCCTAACAATCTGTTGATCTGGCTTGCGCCTGAAGCCTGGCTATGATATGCTTGGTCAAGCAAACTATGAATACGAAGGCTTCCATTTTCATCTCATTAGCCTAGCTTACATCATGTTTGTGTGAGCAAGCACCCTTCCTGTGTAGTTACCAACAAGCCTCTACTCCAGAATTGACTCCGCTTAGATCAAATTGTCCTTTGCTCACACGGTTGTACTCAAAGACAAAGACGCAAGTTACCATTCAGTCACACGTTCCGCGCTTTGATCCTTATTTTTATCTTCATGATTGTCCATCAGTCACTTTCCATTTGTCAGAAACACAAACAATGGAACATATTGGCGCGACATCCTAGTGGGGAGCGAGCTTGGTAGACCCTTTTCTGAAGATGATACAGTCCACCTCAAATCATCTGAATCATCTTTTTATCGCTTGATAACTATAAGATATATGTACTTTAGCGCTTCCAGATCTCATTCAAGTATCTTGTTGAGGAGCCGCGGAGAAGAGTGAGGGCGACCTCGCAGTGTCGAGCATGCTCTCGTGTAGGGTATCCGAAAATTGATCTCTGCAGCGATGATCAATGATCGCCGAGTCCCACAGATCGGCCTGCTCCGCTTTCCTCCCAGCCAGTGATTGGCTGATCACAACCACTATACCGAAGATGAATTTACTGGCTTACAGTAGTTAGCCCGGGCCGCAAGCCGGCCATCAGATAACGCACTGAACCCAATTCAGTGCATTTATTACTGCAATTGTGCAGATCCTCAACAGCCATCTCAATTTCAAGGCAGGTTAATGGATCTTCAACACGTCAGTGGAGCGGGGCATTCAGCTAGCCACTCGTACTCAACTTGACCCCAACTTGGTGCGTTATAAAGCACCAAGTTCCCCCAAAAACCTGCATGCCTAACATCCTGATTAATTGCCTGTCAGCCTCTGAACATGGCCAAGATGACTTCCCAACATGAACCCCAAGTGGACAGCTCCATTGTAAAAACAGGAGCGGAGGAGTCACAAAGTCAACTACCTATCTGTAACTGGACTGACAAGGCTGAAGTCAAGCTGAGAAGAAAGTGCGTCGATCTCCCCCCAATATCATGTGCCGATACTAACACGTCTGACCAGAATCGACTTCACCATCTTACCCATGCTCATGCTCGGCCTTTTCGCCCTCCAACTCGACAGAGGAAACGTCGGCTACGCCATGACAACAACCTTCACCGAAGATCTCGGCATAAACAACGATAACGTCAACACCGGAAACCAGCTCATGCTCGCAGCCGTCGTAATATTCGAAATACCCTTCAACATGGTTCTATCCCGAATCGGGCCTGCACTTTGGCTCATTATTCAGATCTTGGCTTGGGGAACGATTGCAACGGCGCAAGCAGCTGTTCACAACAAATCGGGATTCTACACCACGCGATTCCTGCTGGGAATGTGGGAAGCTGGATACCTGGCTGCTGCGCTGACGATTCTTGCGTCTTTTTATACGAGGAAAGAGATGGCTATGCGGGCTACGCTTGTGTATGTTGGGAATTACTGCTCTGCCGGTGTAAGCGGACTTCTCGCAGGCCTGATCTTCAAAATCCCAGAGACGAGCGGTTTGAAAAAATGGCAGTGGCTTTTCATCATCGACGGTCTCTTCACACTGGCCGTTGGCTTCGTTTTCATCTTGATCATGCCTCGTTCGACAACCAATACGCTTCCGCTGGCAGGTATCAAGTGGTTCGACCTGTTCACCGCTGAAGAGAGGGACATCCTGGCCAAGCGCGTTATCCTCGATGATCCGCGCAAGCACGTGAAACTCTCTGGCATCAGCCCCAAGACTGCACTGCGCATTCTCTTGACCAGCTTTCCAATGTGGGGCCATTTCGGTATCAACGCCATCTCCATCACGCCCAAAGGCGGCTTAGTATTCTACACGCCTACAATCATCAAGAACCTCGGTTTCGGAGCATCTACTGCGAGCTTCCTGGCAGCTGTTAGTAACTTTGGCGTGTGCATATTGGCAATTCTCGTATCGTGGGTCAGCGACAAGACATTGTCTCGAGGACCTCTATGCCTACTTTGTGGGGTGTATTCACTTGTCTTTTCGGGTGTTCAATTTGCTGTTGTTGGGAGTTCCGACGTCTGGATGAAGTACGCTATCCTCACACTTCTGGGTTCAGGAGTGGCAGTATCTCAGAGTCTCAACGATGCGTGGTTTAGCATCAATACTGCTGATCCCCAGGTCCGATGTATCGGACTTGCGCTGGCTGTTGCGGGCTCAAACGTGGGAGGACTCGCTGGACAGAATATCTTTGTGAAGAGTGATGCGCCATACTATCGCAATGGGTTTCTGAAGATTTTGTGTCTCTACGCGGCTAGTATTGTACTTGTAACTGGTATGATATTTTACTACTGGAATGACAACAGGAGGATGCAAAAGTCAGGAGAGCTGGAAGATGCCGCAGAAACAGAGGGCTCTGGCGGAGTCAAGAGGACAAGGGTGAGGAATCAGTTGTAGAAGCTATCTTGATATAGATGTTTCTACGCTAAAAAGCTTCAGTATGGCGAACATAAGCTCCCAGCCATAGGTTTCAACTGAAAATACAACACCTAGGTTGCAATTTAGTCGTTATACTACATTGCCTGACCAGTTGCTACAGCATAAGTGCTGGTTGACTCCGTGCGAGCCATGTGAGGAGGACAATACTCATTTCCAAGTCCACATGTGACATCCCATCCTGGATATTGTCTCCGTCAAACCAAACTAGCATGACTGTTGAGCCGGGCTCTTGATAGCGTTACCAGCTGCATTCAGATACTTCCTAAGCACACTAGTCCCGCCACACTTGTACTTAACAGCTTGAACAAAAGTCTGTGTGTTCAACTTCGCACCGTCCCAATTAGTATGCGTGTTATCATTAGGATAGTACGTTTTGGCCTTAGTAGGACCCATCGCCTGGAACAAAGCCACGGAGTACTTTGTATGGTTGATGTATTCGACTCCAGCCGCTTTGGCCACAGTTTCGGCGTAGTCCGCAAAAGGCCACTTCGACTGCAGGATGTTACCAGTCCAGTAGTTGCGGTTAACCATACCGGAAATGATAGGCGTTGCTCCCTTGGCCTTGAGGTCGGCGATCATCTTGCGCAGATACCAGCCAAATGTGTGGACGATTTCTTTACTGCCTGTCGTTGTGGTGACTGTGACAGTTTCTTCGCCAGTGCCTGGGAGGGTAGCGCGGTCAGATGTAGTGGGATCCCCGTCGTCGTTGTGGCCCATCTCAATAACCACGAAATCTCCTGACGCCGTCTTTGACAACAGGTCGCTCCATAGGCCCTCGTTGATAAAAGACCTGGTCGAGCGGCCATTCTTGGCAAGGTTTGAAACCGTCAGGGTCGTGTAGTCTTGGATGTAAAAGCCCCATCTATCATGATGAATGAGTGAGTAAGAAATGTTCTTATGCTTAGATGGAATTACTTACCCCTGTAGGGCGTTTCCAGTGGCATAGTTTGCCGTGGTGCTATCAGAACAGATCAGTAGCTTTGCTGCCTGGATAGGCGCTGCAAGCAATACCGAGCCGAGGATGGTTGAGAAGCGCATACTGTAGAGGATTAAAGGAAGTTGACACGAGAATCAACGATTCGATCATTGCGAACATCATCTTCTTTTTAAGTTTCTTTCTACCAAGCAAGAATGGCGGCTTTACTGCTCTACTTGGGTATAACTAAGCTGCAGAGAGGTGGGAAAATTAGAATCCGGAGCGACCACTTCAAATGCCGAGCTCGGCAACTCGGCATAGATGGTATCCATGCAAAGTCCTAAATTGGCTATGCGGAGGTAACATCAGCTATCCGAATACTTAATTAAGCCTTGTTATGGAAGGTTTACAGTCTTGCTATACGCGGATAAGTCAACTTGAAACGGGCTAAGGCGGGAATGCATGCAAAAAGACCCAAGCGGAAGATACCCCACGATTCTCCGTTCCTTATTATAGAGCGTGTGGGGGAGATCATCTACCCCACGATCCTGCGATGATCGTTAAAGTTTGATCGGAAATTAACAAGGCCACATTGTGCAATGCCATTCTCTTTTATGCCACCAGTGGACTCAAACCAGATATCTAATAAACTCGATGTCGGTCGTCGTGCAGGAGCTGGGGGAATGGAATGAGCTCTACCTGAGCCGGAGTCCAAACTTCTAGAGCATCGGGCTGAAGAGCCAGAAGTTTCAAGGTGGCGGTGATGTGAAGATTGATGAGGTGTTTTTGGCTGCGATGGACGCAGGCAGAATTAGGATCCTTAACCAAGGGTAAGGAGACTGAGATAAGTTCAATATAACTTCGTATACTGTAGACGAGCTAATCTTGGTACCTCGGTTTAAAGCCAGAAGTTCCCTTGCTCCTTGTGGACTGAATAAATTCCCTCTCGGTGGCAAATCTGCTCTGCTCTTTGACTTTTTGTCAAGGATATAGACTTCTTCCAACCCCTCCTCCCACCCAACCCTCTATCACCGTGTTGATCACCTTTTGTAGGTGTGACTCAATGGCGTGCAAGCAGTTCCCCTTGAAGTTCAGCCTCCAGAAGCATAAGGATTTTGCTAAACCTTCAAGACTTTCGAAACCATATAAACTACTGCACCACGAGTGTAAAATGCCCGTAGACGCAACCATTGATACGTTCTTCCTTTTCAAACATCCTCACTTCGGAAATCGATCGACTCTCACAAGATCAGCTATCCACTTCATTCGTAGGTCATTAACAATGGCGTCAACAGGTTCAACCCCAGCGAGTACTGAACCACGAGTCATTGTCGGGTGTGAAGCGAGTCGCTTGGCCAAAGCTTCGTATACTGCCTCTAGAGATCTCAGATGCTAGTCTCCCCGCCCCATATGCAACATATTCTTCAAAACGCACATACCATCGCCAAGAAGCATAAGGTTCTGTCCATCCAAGATATGGACGATCAGATTCAGTTCAAAATGCGAAGTGGAACACCAACCCTCCTAATCGTTGCACCATGGTCTTCCGAAAAGACACCCATCTGGGAGAAAGCCGTGCAAGAGATGATTGTGAGTCTGGCTGAGTTGTCCAAAGCATCCTCGATCAGAGAAGGCGATATTCATGTCGAGATCATCACTATGGAACTTGAAGGGCCAATTTATTTAGGTCCTCTAAGAACGCCTCCCTCCAGGGCACCTGGGATTGGGTCCGTGCTGAAGTCCATGACTGCCCCCAGTCCTTCCAAGCAACTAAAGATTGCTTGACACTTCTTGCTCTCTTCCATTGTGGAGTGATTCCAGATCCCAAAGACAATCCTCTTACAATCCATATCTCAGTGGACTCTGATTCGGACGAGACAGGTTGGCATGAGGTCGTCGCTGATATCAAGAACATGCTTCAAGGCGTGGAGGGATGGGGTCATGTACAGGTACATATTGAGCATAACGAAGGATGGCAAGACCTGTCGGTTCGACTAAGGTTACACATCAATCGAAGCGCACTTTGAAGAGTCGGAAAGAGACTATTGCATGCTTGATATTGGAAGATACAGGCAAATGTCGCGGAAGCATATGCATCTCAAAGCTTTTACGTTATAGTGAGTACATGCTTGAAAATCAAGGTTTAAACGACTGGCTAATCATACATCGCCAGGACTACTCCAGCCTCCTCCTCGTCGAACTCCAACCAGAACCTTGGACCAGCCTCTATGGTAGAAATAACAAGATTGTACTTAACCTGGCACTGTTTCTTCCTATCTATTGCTTGAAATTCTTGGAAGACTTTTGAACAGCGACTTTTCCACTGAACTTAGGTCACTTTCCAGATTACACTTAATCATGGTATCTTTCGTGTGAAGTTAAGCCGGCCGTTGACATGGGAACCGCACTGCGTTACGAGCCCATCGCCGCAGACGCCACTCATATCTCTGCTCATGCGTCGCCATTGGCGCAATAAGCTCACTTGGTTTCGACATGGCGGCATTCGCAGCCCTTGAAGCCGCCGAGATGGTTAAAAGAGTTGTTATCCCCGAGAAGTAGGGAGAACTGAACGCTAAGCTTAAGACTGTTGATATGCATATCTTAGCGTTGTTTCGGATCTGGATATCGCTCCCTTAACCGTGGTCTGATAGTTCTCTCGAGTATAATAGTATGGGATGTGTTGATATGTAAGATACTGAGTTGATGAACCCATCTTACTACTGTGTACATTCATCAGTCTCCCAGTGAAGGCAAAGTGGGACGTCTCTGGCACTTAGCGCTTGACCCAAGTCCAGTACTGGCATATACAATTGGGACGGAAGGGCTTGTTATGGCTCTATACGTGGTCCTGCCATGCTTTTCCTTTGAACTGTCTGTAGGTTCGACCCTACCAGGTATGCGTCGTGGCCTGATGGAAACAACCTGGACCAGACTGTGCCACTCAAGACCCTGCGTAAACCAGACAGATAAACAACGTGAGCTGAAGTCACTGAGCGCTGACGTGGAGACTCGTTAAAATTCTAAATTAATACTGCCTACGAATTAATTCAGGTTCTTAATATAGAGGTTCTGCTTATCGCCAGCCACCAGCTCTATGCTATTATCCTGTTAATATATATTAGCAATTAATTATTAATATAATAATAGCTTTAACTAATAGTATACTTACTATCCGTCTAAATATTATATTCCTCCTTCTAGGACCTCTGGTTAATGCAGACAAGCATAAAAGGAACTAGAAAAATACCAACAGAAAGGGAAGGAAACAGTGCCTCGGTGTCAGAAGACCAACAACAGTCGAGATAAGTATGCAATTCTACGCGTCCATTACGGCACTATCGGCTGGGCGGTCGGACCTCTCCCAGGCCATCACATATATCTCATGCTAATGGAACTGGCAGACCTGAGAACTACGCATAGGAATGGCTATATCGAGATAGCTACGAAACAGCGAGATGGCAAGCGGTCAAGCAGGGTCGGCGCTTAAAGTCAAAGTTGCCGAGACGCGTAAGGAGTGCAGTCAGAAAACGCAATTCTCGGGGACCTATAGGAGGTAGCCAGTGAGAAATCATAAATTCATGATTGGTTGAGTTAAATGATTGTTTATATCGTGGGGACATGCCGTGTGGTCGCAGGCTGACGAAATGAGGTATTTGTTGGTCCAGTTGAAATTTGAAACGGACCACGGCCGACATATCAGAACACACACATGCTGCCACAGCTGAAAACTAATTCGTCTTTGAAACTTTCTTTTTTCCTTTTTCGAACACATGATGTATATCTTCAAATATAAATAATCTCGCAATGTTGCCACATGTTGCATAGCCCATTCGTCGACCAAGTCAGCTTCCCAGCAATTGGTCAGCCTGAGTCATGGAACATGTCCATCTCTGTCACCCAACATAATCAAGCTTGAGTTATTCACCTTGAACATTGGACTTTCGACCTATGTGTTATGTATGGTACGCAAATAAGACGCATTGGCAAGGAGCTTAGCATTTTGATCTACCCTCCTCATAGGCTCAAACGCCTGGACTAAGTCGCCATTCTTTGAGGGTTTAAGGATGCTAAGAGATTTATTGAATGCAGTACAGAGCATCTAAGCACCGGTGAGCATACCTTCGCATGTGATCTATAAAGTCGTAAAAATCAGTCTAACAATCTATTCCTTCCACAGTAACTCGTTTTCGGTAAAGAACTAATTATCTGGTACAATAAACCTCGTTGAAACCTGTGCTCGCTCCAGATAAATCGCCTTACTGGGGTATTCCCTTGAAATCTTCTTCAATCCACCATATAAGCAACAGTCAACAACTTTCACCCCAATGATAGTTCTGCTTCTATTGCATCTCAATTCTTCAACCTTCTTCTCGCAATCTTTGAAAGCGACGTCTTTTTTGATGGTGAAAACCTGAAAGGTGTGCTCGGAGCGTCGCAGGAGGATGCCAAACTCGTTAGCCTTTTCGCAAAGGACCTTGAGCTTTTTCCTGCCGATGTTCTGGGACTTTACGTCATCTGTCTCTGCTGGTTTGAAGAACTGCTCAAGATGTACTGCATATGAGTCTGCCTCATCAGATCTATCAACGAGAAGATCTAGGCATTTGAACGTGACACGAGTCCAATTGGCCATTTCTCCACCAGCGGTGCCTGATAGTAGGATTGTTAGTGACGAAGCGAACCTTTGGCGCTTCAGAGGGAGGCTGTACCTTTAGGGTGACGAGCTGCAACGGCATCCATCATATCACGCTCTGTTGCTACAAGTAATTTCTGAAGATTCTCATATTTCCCACTGATCTTGGAATCACCGACGCTGTTGGGGAAAAACCGTTGTCTAATCAGCGTGGATAGATGCGCGTGAATGGCGTCCTGTCGACATTCCGGGGCAAGGCTCTCGATCTCCTCGAAGAAGGCGGCACTATCGATTGTTGTGGGCTCTAGATATTTCCTTGATTTCGAAAAGAGCCTTTCAGCCACCCATTGAGTCGCTGTGCGAATTTCTGAGAATACCTTTTGTATCTCACTGTCGAGCATGGGTTCCTCGTCACGAGGTACAATGATGCTGCGGAGTTGATCCGCTCGATCTTCTGATGCCTTCAATCGAGACTTCACATTCTCGAGCTCTGCCTGTGTTCTCTGCAGCATTGCTGTTAGGTCTTCAACCTGGGTCTTATGTTCTGGCTCAGCGGACTCCAGCAACAGCTGAGAATCTGAGGGTTCAGGAGATGCTCGACGTGAAGGAAGTGGCTGGACGTCATCTTGTTGGCCAACCAGATATTCCTCAATTGTTCTTCGAATGGTCTGCTCGATATGGTCTGTCAGGGCATGCAAACACTTTTGGTGTCCGGCGTTCATCCTATTGGTGACTGAAACGAGGCCACGATCCCAGTCTGTTCGTAGTTCCGAACGCAGTTGATCGAGAATTTGGGACGTGTCATTAGGGATATGTGCTATTTCCCATTCCACCTCATCGCCTCCAGTGCCGTTGAAATTCTCGACCTTCATTCGGGATTTCCGCCCCCGGATGTTTGTCAAATGAGCTGGGGACCGATAGTTCCTAAACTCTTGTCGGATGGATTCCATGAAAGACATTTTATGATAGCAGATAAAAGGCTTTAGTATGAGAGTATAAATTCTTTCAAAAGACAGCGGTAAGTCGCTGAAGATACCGATATCTGTTAGTGAGACAACGAGTGCTGTACGGGTTGACTTGGATGTATCTAAATAAAAAGCCAGATCGTAATTACTTGCTGAGGCATGCAGAGATACCGTACGGAGCGACCATGGTGTAGATAAAGGTGGTGTCGTAGAATGTATCGGGTGTGGCCGATTCTTGGCCGGTTGTCTGTGTTGAGCGCTTATGCGGGGAACACGACAGGAGAAGGCTGATTCAATGCGGCCATGCAAGGCATACCTCTTGAATAAATGTTGCAAATGGATAAATTAAGCCTGGGGCTATGTTCTGTTGGTCATCATGGAGCATTGCGAGCTATAGGTATTGGTTAAAGAAGGTGATGGTGCTGACCAACGCCAGACAACTCAGCAATATCCAGCCTACACAGCCCTCCACAGAGTTTCATGTTCAACAATCGTCAAACACTTAGTCGCAGCTGGCATTTTTAGACTTCGCCATCAGTATTCTCCTCATACCTTCCCCGCTATCGGTCTGGTTTTATATCAAGACGGGTAGCCCTTTGACCTCTCCTGCGAGATACGTCAAACAGAACAATCTATTGCTTATATTTCCCAAAGTGTATTCTAACATGGCATTCAAATTTACTCGTTCCACTCGGTATTCGGTGGACAACCCCTTCGCTGTCCAAAATCTTACCAGTGGTTCAGCTACTACAACGCCAGACACCAAGGACAGAATCATTATTGCCCTTGACTTCGGGACAACCTATTCAGGCGTTGCTTACTGTTTTTGCAACTCGTCCGAAAAGCCCGATGTCAAACCAGTAGTCGACTGGTTGGGTACGTGGGATTACACCTTACTGTATTAGCCTAGACTGACTTCCTTCAGGACTGGAGGGCCGCACACAGCCCAAAGTGCCCACTGCCATCTTGTATGATCCAGGTGACAGTACAAAGTTCAAGTGGGGAGGGCAAGTCACCTGGCGTGACGGCCATGTTCGAGGTGTCAAGCTTCTACTTGACCCGCAGCAAACAAGACCTTCTTATCTTCCGTTTAGTAACTACAAGAGTGATATCAAAAGACTTCCAAAAGATGTTATTGATGTAGCAGCGGACTTCATGGGTGCTATGTACAACCATGCCCTGGAGAAGATCGCGTCTAGAATGCCAAGAGACTATCTTGATCTTTGCCAGAAAGACTTTGTTTTGAGTGTACCAGCTGTTTGGTCAGACATGGCCAAGGAAAGTACCATGCAGGTATGCAAACCTAGAACTTGATATGATACCCGATCCTGACACATTTCAGGCTGCGAAAAAGGCAGGTATTTTCCCAGTGGCTGTAATCAATGAGCCAGAGGCCGCAGCACTCTACACCTTTATGAGTCAAGAGCGAGCATTGGTTGTAAGTATTAGAAACCACTTATTAATAGGACCCTGGGCTAACCAAGCAAGGAGGGAGATTGTTTTGTCGTTTGCGACGCGGGAGGTGGCACTGTCGACTTGATCTCGTATGAAGTTGTCTCAACACAGCCATCTCTTGACCTCGCAGAAGTGGTTCCTGGCATAGGTAAGTAAATCTGACTTCCCTAAGGTATTAAACAGACCTAACAAGCTCCAGGGAGTATGTCAGGATCCCTGGGTCTTAATCGGCGTTTTGCGGAAGCTGTCCAGAACCTGATTGGCGACGAAGAGTGGTTCCGCCTGAAGAATCACGAAGCTTGGCCACATGCCGACCGTCAGTTCGACCAGAACATCAAGACAGCGTTCAACGGCGATTTGGAGGACGAATACATTGTCAACTTCCCAGGCGCTTATCTTGACGATGATGATGATGAGGGCCTTCGAAGAGATACTTGGTACATGTCTGGGTAAGTCTTTATCAACGCTCAATTGTTGAAAGTCTGACTAAGGTACCATAGTGAGGCGGTGCAAGACATATTCGAGCCCTTAATTGCAGACATAATTCGCTTGGTGAATGAGCAAGTTCAAGGAGCCAAGCTGAAACGACCTGGAAAGCCCGTAAATGTGAGTTTGGCGACATTTTACACTTCTATGCTGACTATTGACTCTAGGGAATCGTTCTTGTCGGTGGTTTTGGTGCAAGCCAATACCTCAAAACTCGGATTGGGAGAGCGAACCCAGATATCCAAGTAGGAACTTGCGAAACCAGAGCGAGTTACAAATGTTGACAGCACTAGGTCATTCAGCCGGACGATGCGTGGGCGGCCATTGTAAAGTGAGTGTTGTCGAGTGATGAAGGAACTGTTCTGACAATCTACTAGAGGCGCAGCCCTTAGCCGCTTGTCTTATGCAAATGTCGTCTCAACCAAGGCTCCTCGTCACTATGGTGTAGTTTTCCGCATTCCCTACGAACCCGCAACCGACAAAGGACGGCCAACGTTTGTTGATGAAATCGATGGCAGGCTTCTGACGGCCAGAGTAAGTGAACTCCAGAATCTATAGTGAAGTGGCTACTGACTGTACATTCAGATGAAATGGTATATTCTCAAAGGAGAAAACCTTAAACGCGATCAAGATATCCGGAGCACCTTCTCCCGGAATATTCCAAAGGCTCACTCCGACAGTGATCTTGTGTTTCGAGAAAAGCTTTCGATGTCAGAGGCGGTACTGGCGCCGCAGCATCCTACAAGCGATGTCAAGACCAGCTGCACTCTGACGAGCGATCTACGCTCAGTTGATAAATCGCTTTTCAAAGGCCGGGTTGGCATTGATGGGAGAGAATGGCTGCAAATTGATTTTGTACTGGTGATTTCGACAAAAGAGGCCGCGATGAAGTTTTGGCTTGAGTATGATGGCAAGGAAGTGGGTTCAGTTTATGCGACTTATTAGTAGTAAAGACGGTGCGAGCAGAGGCATAGCAAGAAGACTAAGAGGTTAAGTTAGGCAGAGGCAGGCTTTGCCTCGTCTGGGATGACAGCTTGCTATCAGCATCAGGTTCTTGTATGTTTATTAGACTATGTAACTTCTGGCGCAAATATTCGTCCTGCCTGCATAGCAAGTCACAGCCCTGCTATTAGTCCAAGCTGCCGTGGTTCGATGATCTTCGGCCGTCAGGTCCAACTACTCCATGATACTGGCTATTTGCTATTCCAGACAGTCGAGTCGTACTCATCCATCCACTCAACGAACTCGCCACCGGCTTTGGCCCAACCGGTAATGCCTTCAAACAGAATCGCGCTCTCCATATGGCTATCTCCTTGCTTGTCGATACGATCCTGGAACCACCCAGCGGCGCGCGTGCCCCGGCCGCGAGAGGATGCTGGAGGGGTTAGTACGTCCGTTTCATTGATGCTTCGATCTGGGAAGGGATGGACCAAGATGTACAGCAATACCAGATGATCTTTTGAACCCCTGCCGATTTGAACATGGTGTATAGGGTTTCTATCATCGGGTAGAGGCTCTGTGCCGGCAGATTGATGGATCCGCGAATGGTACCGCCCTGGATGACAGAATGGATGAGTATGTGCTCTTATTAAATGTCTTGTGAATTTCAGAAACTGCGGAATATAGGTGCTACCTCGCGATCTGCACGGCGGAGATCAATGAGAACGTAATCCTTGCCGGCGATGTTCTTGCTGTCCTTCATCATCTCTAAGACCGCCTGGCGTGTCATGGCAGCGGGGGTCTTGTTGAGCGGAGGAGGGTAGGCGGCGTGCCAAGGCGTGGCGGCATCGGTAGAGGCCATCTTGGACGAGCAGACGCGTTTGACCTTTTGGAAGGCGAAATGGGAGCGAGGACGAATCGTTAGGAATCCGAGATATGTTGTGAGGTTCATCGCATTTTGGAGGGGGGGGGACGGTGTTTCCGAGCATACAGCCCTTTGACTAAGTGCAGAAGGCCACAGGCAATCTCCACGCACTCAGACATGGTCGGGACTGTGTCATACCCAGTGGAAACCAGGTACAACTCGGGGCTAAGATTAGGTAGCGTTCTTGTCTTGGGACTGTGTCAGACCCGAAGCGTGATTGGTCAATTGGCTTTGGAATGGATGACAGATTACAGAGACTCAGGTGTCAGTTTCTGCAACTCCACTAGGCAAATTCAACTAGCAGGGACTGTGTCAGGCCGACGCTGCGATTGGCCCAACGCGGTTTTCCAGCAGCGATTGTTCTTGTGCTTCACGACTTGCATCAACATGGAGAATCGCATGGACGCGGCGAAAATTCACATATAAGATGATGCTCGAATCTACGGCGGCTGCTGGTCCCAGAGCCACACTCAACCACCACGCACAGTCTACCGCCCGCCTTCATCATGACACAGGAGATGAACAACGGGCTGAGCAGCCACGAGCCCAAGCCTTCTAATACACCTCGCGCAGACTCAAGCAATGGGAGCACTAGACAGGCTGGCCAAGAGCCCGAGGCCACAGCTGCGAGCGTGAGCCACGAGCCGCAAGAGAAGCAACAACTGTCCGCCCTCAAGGGACTAGGTATTCTGGATCGCTACCTGGCCATCTGGATATTCCTGGCCATGGCCATTGGTATAGTCTTGGGAAACTTTGTCCCTGAGACGGGTCCAGCCTTGCAGAAGGGCAAGTTTGTCGGTGTTTCGCTGCCTATTGGTATATTTCCTCTCCTCAAAGTCTTCAACTGTTGATCCTTGAAACTGACCCTTGGGCCAGCTGTCGGTTTACTCGTTATGATGTATCCTATCCTCTGCAAAGTGCGATATGAATCGCTCCACGAGCTCTTTTCCCACCGGGATATGTGGAAGCAGATCTGCTTTAGCATCTTCATCAACTGGATCATTGCTCCATTCCTCATGGTAAATTCCTTCCCCCCCCC